TTTTTTTTATAATGGCGATCAGCATAAAAATAGTTTGAGAAGAGGTCCGGTTGCAGCGCCGTTCTTCTGGTGGTAGTCGATCGCCTGTGCGGTTTTTTTATTTTTTGCGCGATAAAATAAAAAAAAAATCCAACATTTTTAAGAAAAAATAAATATTTTTGGCTTTTTGCTATTAAACATTTCCAATAAAAAATGAAAAAAAATTAAAATTTAGGCCAAAATGTATTCTGCTTCGCGTCTTTGCTAAAAAAAAAAATCCCATTACGTGTAAATTCATTGGTTTACGTGAAAGTTATAGCGTTTACAAAATGGCGGTATAGATACTGGGATTTTTTTTTTCTATACTAGTAATGGCGGCGATCAGCATAAAAACAGTTTGAGAAGAGGTCCGGTTGCGGCGCAGTTCTTCCGGTGGTAGTCGATCGCCTGTGTGGTTTTTTTATTTTTTGTGCTATAAATAAAAAAAGTCCAACAAATTTCAGAAAAATTTTTTTTTTTACTTTTTGCTATTAAACATGTCCAATAAAAAAATTTTAAAAATCTAATTTCGTCATAAATTTCAGCAAAATGTATTCTTCTTCGTGTCTTTGCTAAAAAATAAATCCCAATACATGGAAAGTTTTAGCGTTTACAAATGGCGGTATAGATAATGGGATTTTTTTTTTCTATACTAGTAATAGCGGCGATCAGCATAAAAACAGTTTGAGAAGAGGTCCGGTTGCGGCGCAGTTCTTCGGGTGGTAGTCGATCGCCTGTGTGGTTTTTAGTTTTTGTGCTATAAATAAAAAAAGTCCGACAATTTTTGAGAAAAAAGAAATATTTTTGACTTTTTGCTATTAAACATGTACAATTAAAAAAATAAAAAAAAAATTAAAAATCTAATTTCGTCATAAATTTCGGCCAAAATGTATTCTTCTTCGTGTCTTTGCTAAAAAATAAATCCCAATACATGGAAAGTTTTAGCGTTTACAAATGGCGGTATAGATACTGGGATTTTTTTTTTTTTCTATACTAGTAATGGCGACGATCAGCATAAAAACAGTTTGAGAAGAGGTCCGGTTGCGGCGCAGTTCTTCCGGTGGTAGTCGATCGCCTGTGTGGTTTTTATTTTGTGCGCTATAAAAAAAAAAGTCCAACAATTTTCAGAAAATTTTTTTTTTTGTACTTTTTGCTATTAAACATGTCCAATAAAAAAATTTAAAAAATCTAATTTCGTCATAAATTTCAGCCAAAATGTATTCTTTCTTCTTCGTGTCTTTGCTAAAAAAAAATAAATCCCAATACATGGAAAGTTTTAGCGTTTACAAATGGCGGTATAGATACTGGGATTTTTTTTTTTCTATACTAGTAATGGCGACGATCAGCATAAAAACAGTTTAAGAAGAGGTCCGGTTGCGGCGCAGTTCTTCCGGTGGTAGTCGATCGCCTGTGTGGTTTTTAGTTTTTGTGCTATAAATAAAAAAAGTCCGACAATTTTGAGAAAAAAGAAATATTTTTGACTTTTTGCTATTAAACATGTACAATAAAAAAAAAATAAAAAAAATTAAAAATCTAATTTCGTCATAAATTTCGGCCAAAATGTATTCTTCTTCGTGTCTTTTGCTTAAAAAAATAAATCCCAATATGTGGAAAGTTTTAGCGTTTACAAATGGCGGTATAGATAATGGGATTTTTTTTTTATACTAGTAATGGAGGCGATCAGCATAAAAACAGTTTGAGAAGAGGTCCGGTTGCGGCGCAGTTCTTCTGGTGGTAGTCGATCGCCTGTGTGGTTTTTATTTTGTGCGCTATAAATAAAAAAGTCCAACAATTTACAGAAAATTTTTTTTTGTACTTTTTGCTATTAAACATGTCCAATAAAAAAATTTAAAAAATCTAATTTCGTCATACATTTCAGCCAAAATGTATTCTGCTCCGTGTCTTTGCTAAAAAATAAATCCCAATACATGGAAAGTTTTAGCGTTTACAAATGGCGGTATAGATAATGGGATTTTTTTTTTCTATACTAGTAATGGCGGCGATCAGCATAAAAACAGTTTAAGAAGAGGTCCGGTTGCGGCGCAGTTCTTCTGGTGGTAGTCGATCGCCTGTGCGGTTTTTATTTTGTGCGCTATAAATAAAAAAAGTCCGACAATTTTGAGAAAAAATAAATATTTTTGACTTTTTGCTATTAAACATGTCCAATAAAAAAAATAAAAAAAAATTGTAAAAATCAAATTTCTTCATAAATTTAGGCCAAAAATATATTCTGCTCCGTGTCTTTGCTAAAAAAAAATCCCAATACATTGAAAGTTTTAGCATTTACAAATGGCGGTATATATACTGGAAATTTTTTTTTTTATACTAGTAATGGAGGCGATCAGCATAAAAACAGTTTGAGAAGAGGTCCGGTTGCAGCGCAGTTCTTCCGGCGGTAGTCGATCGCCTGTGCGGTTTTTATTTTTTTGTGTTATAAATAAAAAAATTCCGACAATTTTGAGAGAAAACATAAATATTTTTGACTTTTTGCTATTAAACATCCAATAAAATTTTTTTTTTTAAGAATTAAAAAAAAATCAAATTTCGGCATGAATTAAGGCCAACATGTATTCTGCTCCGTGTCTTTGCTAAAAAAAAATCCCAATACATGTAAATTCATTGGTTAACGTGGAAAGTTTTAGCGTTTACAAATGGCGGTATAGATAATGGGATTTTTTTTTTTTATATACTACTAATGGTGGCGATCAGCATAAAAACAGTTTGAGAAGAGCTTTCAGGATCGGGGAGAAGAGAGAGAGGGGGAGAAGAGAGAGAGGGTAAGTAAGGAAGGGGGAGACGGACCGGGGTCCCCCAAAAGGAGTGAGACAGCTGAGGGGCACTGAGACCGAAAGGCGCGGGGTTGGAGTCACTAGTTGGTGGACACCTATATTAAGAAGAGCTTTCAGGAGCGGGGAGAGGGGGAGGGAGAAGAAAGGAGATAAAGAGGGAAAGTATGGCCGCCATACATGGGTCGATTTCTGACTGATTTTTTCGTTCGAAACTCGGACCTAAGAATAATCGACCGATTTTCGCTCTGTTATTGGGGCAATGGCACCGGCCGATTTTTGTGGTTCCTCCCCATTTCGTTTATCGGGAATGTTGGAAAATTCATGAAAACGACCGATTTTCTAAATCATTGGTGGCACCATCTGATTACAGAACGAACTACATTTTAGATTTTTGATCAAGAAATCATTCGGAATTCGACCCCAATGTGTATGGCCTGCTTATGGAAGGGGGAGACGAGGGACCGGGTTAGTAGAGGGCCCCATGAGATGACACTGGTACCTTTCATTGGCTTTTTCATAGGCTTTTTTGGGTGTGGGCGAGGACACAGGGGCCTCATGATCACCTATTGCCCGGGGGCCCCATGAGTTGTCAGTCCGCCCCTGGCGCCAACAGTTTGCTCAGCGCTTTACAATATAACGGGAGACAATACAGCAACAATACAGTTCAATACAAGAGGGTTAGGATCAGGGGTGGACTGACAACTCATGGGGCCCCCGGGCAATAGGGAATCATGGGGCCCCTGTGTCCTTGCCCACACTCAAAAAAAGTCTATAAAAGGTACCAGGGGCATCTCATGGGGCCCCCTACTGACCCCGGGCCCTCAGGCTGTGCCCGAGTGCTTGAATGGTCAGTCCGCCCCTGGTTAGGAGGGCCCTGATCCTGGGAGCAGGGGCGGACTGACCATTTGGAAACTCGGGCACTGCCCCGAGGGTCCGGGGTCAGTAGGGGGCCCCATGTGATGCCCCTGGTACCTTTTTCATAGGCTTTTTTGAGTTTGGGCAAGGACACAGGGGCCCCATGATCCCATATTGCCCGGGGGCCCCATGAGTTGTCAGTCCGCCCCTGCCTGGAGCTTACAATCTAGGAGAGATCTGTATTGTCAGTGATACTCGCCGGATGCCGGTGGGGAATCACTGGCTGGGACCTGTTGATCGACAGCTGTAGCTGCCAATGGCGGCGCGGGTAGGGCGCGCATGTCCCGTACATTGAAATACAAAATCACGTATATATACGAGATTTTGCGCAGCCCTGCCGCCCCGAAGCAGCACTTCTACTACAAGGTGGTCGGGAATCGGTTAATGTTCCTCCATCATTTCTGTGCCGTGTAGTTGAGGATTTCTGCAACCCTTTAGAACTCGCGTCTCTTTCTCATCTTCGCCACATTTGGCAGAAAAAAAAAAAAGTGATAATTGTATCTGCTAAACAAAAGGTGCAATTTAATTTATAATGTATATTTTATGCAAACACTGTAGTAAAAAAAGTCGGAATTATCTGTTTGCGATCTCGCACTAATGCACAAAGACGGGTGTGAAGTGTCAGCTCGCCGTTTCTGCACTTCCAGCATGTGGGGAAGATGAGTGACGGATATACAGAACTAGGAGAGAGGATGCTGAGGGTTGGAATACATTCTGCTGCAGCTCTATACGTGTATATATATATACTCCTGTCCAGGGGCGGACTGACAACTCATGGGGCCCCCCGGGCAATAGGGGATCATGGGGCCCCTGTGTCCTTGCCCAAACTCAAAAAAGCCTATGAAAAAGGTACCAGGGGCATCTCATGGGGCCCCCTACTGACCCCGGGCCCTCGGGCAGTGCCCGAGTTTCCAAATGGTCAGTCTGCCCCTGGCTCCTGTCTGTCTGTATTGGAGGTTGGATGTAGTCCGTTCACTGCTGGAAAGGATGATATATATATATACTGTGAGGGGGATTTACTAACAGAATGCGGTGCAGCTGTGCAGGGAAGTCAGACTACTTCTAACCTCAGCTTGTGCAAAGAAAACCTGCAATCCTTGCTGACTTCTGTACACAGATATCACATGCTCTGGTTGTAGTGAATTTAGGTAGATAGATCGAGTGAATGCACGAGGAGAGCAGATATAAGCAGGGTCCGGGGAGAGCGGATATAGTGAATTCCGGGGAGACCAGATATAGTAAATGCAGGGTCCGGGCTAGAGAGGCGGATATAGTGAATGCTGGGTCCAGGGAGAGATATAGTGAATGCGGGGTCCAGGGAGAGCGGATATAGTAAAATTGCAGGGTCGGGGAAGAGCGGATATAGTGAATGGCAGGGTCCCAGGGAGAGCGAGATATAGTGAATGCGGGGTCCATGGAGAGCGGATATAAATGCGGGGTCCAGGGAGAGCGGGATATAGTGAATGCAGGGTCCGAGGAGAGCGGATATAGTGAATGCAGGGTCCGGGAGACCAGATATAGTGAATGCAGGGTCCGGGGAGATCGGATATAGTGAATGCAGGGTCCAGGGAGAGCGTGGGATATAGTGAATTCGGGGGTCCAGGGAGAGCGGATATAGTGAATGCAGGGTCCGGGGAGATCAGAGATATAGTGAATGCAGTGTCCGAGGAGAGCGGATATAGTAAATGCAGGGTCCGGGGAGAGCGGATATAGTGAATGCAGGGTCCGGGGAGAGCGGATATAGTGAATGCAGTGTCCGAGGAGAGCGGATATAGTAAATGCAGGGTCCGGGGAGAGCGGATATAGTGAATGCGGGGTCCGGGTGAGAGCGGATATAGTGAATGCGGGGTCCGGGGAGAGCGGATATAGTGAATGCGGGGTCCGGGGAGAGCGGATATAGTGAATGCAGGGTCCGGGGAGGGCGGATATAGTGAATGCGGGGTCCGGGGAGAGCGGATATAGTGAATGCAGGGTCCGGGGAGAGAGGATATAGTGAATGCAGGGTCCGGGGAGAGCGGATACAGTGAATGCGGGGTCCGGGGAGAGCGGATACAGTGAATGCAGGGTCCGGGGAGAGAGGATATAGTGAATGCAGGGTCCGGGGAGAGCGGATACAGTGAATGCGGGGTCCGGGGAGAGTAGATATAGTGAATGCGGGGTCCAGGGAGAGCGGATACAGTGAATGCGGGGTCCGGGGAGAGCGGATATAGTGAATGCGGGGTCCGGGGAGAGCGGATAGAGTGAATGCGGGGTCCTGGGAGAGCGGATAGAGTGAATGCGGGTCCGGGGAGAGCGGATATAGTGAATGCAGGATCCAGGGTTTAGGAACATTTTAACACTTGTATACATTTTTTTTGAACCTTGTATCTTTTTGCCGCATCCAGACTGATAGAAGTCGCAGTATCGCTTGCAATCTTTGCATCCCCGTGCTGCACTCTCCTATGGCTGGTTGTAGCGCTGTCATGTGACTCCATTGATATACTGTAACCAGGGGCGGACTGACAACTCATGGGGCCCCTGGGTAATAGAGGATCATGGGGCCCCTGTGTCCTTGCCCAAACTCAAAAAAGCCTATGAAAAAAGTACAAGGGGCATCTCATGGGGCCCCTTACTGACCTCGGGCCCTCGGGCAGTGCCCCGAGTTTCCAAATGGTCAGTCCGCCCCTGACTGTAACACTTGACATCATACAAATATCTTCTCGATGATGAAATGTCTGAGCGTTCCCTCGTCTGATGTGCTCCTATGCTGCCTCTTCAGCCCACAGCCGCTCTAAGTTTACGTTTTATATTTTTTTTCACGCTGCGATCCGGACGCAGACGATATATGACCTCCAGCTATTTTATGTCCCTGCGAGCGCTCCCCGCGTCTGACTCCAGAACCTGTTGCCGGTGGGAGCCGCGCTCCGAAGAAGACATATGAATCCGGCTTACGCTGAGAACAATTAACCTTCTTTTTTTCCTCCTCAAACCCCTCTCCCCCCCCCCCACGCACGACACGCGCCTTTCCCCTGCGTTAAGGCCACATCTATTCACCGGTGACCCACAATGCATTTCATCATAAGGTGTTCCATTTTCCTCCGGCAGTCAATGGGGCGCCCATCCATCACGGTGGTTCCTCCGCTCCCGGGGGGGACAACCTTTCCCAGCTGGGTCGGTAGTTATAGAGCGAGGCAAAGTGGTGTCACTTAGCATTGCTGATCCCATTCGTTCTGCTCTAAGAAGAATGTCCTGTCACCGGCGCTCTTTCCCTTTTGGCCTCGGAGAGCGATAAGACGGGGAGACGGGGGAGAAATTTGGATTATTTAAAACTCGTTCATTGAGAAACGGAGCGCATTGACGTCCTGGAGGACGTGGGAGGGCAAAAGTCTCCAGCATGGCTACTAATGGATCATGTGTGCTAAATGGAGTGCTGGCCAGAGGTGAGCGACCCTGACGGGCTGCCGACCCCGTATGCCACGGCAGTCATGTTTCACAGTTTGGCAGCAGATGGCGGCCTGGGCCAGGTACTGTGGCGGCTGCCTACCGGGGAGGGGGGGGGGCAGGATGTGGAGTGCAGAGGAACGTGCCCACATGGAAGAAAAATATATTTTAAATATATTTTAAAAATATTCTTCCCAAATATATTGACATATATTTGAAATACTACAATTTTGGCCGTATTCAATATATATATTTCAATAAATGTATATATATATACACTGCATGTTGAAATCACAAAAATATGAAAAAATAAATGAAAAATATTTTTAAAAATACATTTTAAAACATACTGTGTCTTTAAAAAAAATCTGAAGAATATATTTAAAAAAAATATATTTAAAAAAATATATTTAAAAAAACATTTTTCATATATTTTGTATGTATACACACACACACACACACATATATATATACTGTATGTTGAAATGTGTTTTTATCACAAAGTATATGAAAAATACTTTTAAAAATACATTTTAAAATATACTGTATGTCTTTAACCATTTGTCGCCCGCCCTATGGCTGAATGGCGGCCGGCAAATGTCATCAGCGTTCCGGGTGGATGCCATATGGCGTCCTCCCGCACATGCGCAGTTCGCGCTCCAGCAGAGCCGCGTAGCAGAGCGATCTGTCACACGGCCGATGACAGATCTGAGTTCCGGCCCCCGTTGCCGGTACCATGTGACCTGCTGTGACCAATCACAGCAGGTCACATGACAGTTGTATACAATGGATGGCTTCATTCATGCCATCCATTGTATACTAGTGTCTAGCTGTGAATGGTCACAGCAGGTCACATGCACATGTCATGTGATTAGCTGTGGCCAAATCACAGCTAAGCAGAAAAAAAAAAAAAAAAAAGCCCTGAATGAATCGATGTCATTCAGGTAAATGCTTGCTTATAGCAAAGTAATTCTTTGCTATAAGCAAATTGAGTGAAAAAAAAAAAAAATACTGATCACTTCCCCAAAGTAGTACAATGTTACTATGGTAACATTGTACTACTTTGGTCATAGTAAAATATGAAAAAAAAATCTTAAAAAAAAAGAAAAAAAAAATTTAATAAAAATAAAAAAAAAAATAAAAAATATATATATATATTTTTTTCATACTGTCACCAGTCAGTGTCCCTGTTCACCGCCATGCCAGTTATATGATGACGCTGTACTGCACTGGTGACAGTATGTAAAAAAAAATAATGAAACTAATTTTTTTAATTTTTTCATTTTCCTGAAAAATTATGACAAAAAAAATACAACTTCAAAAAACTCTCCATGCCTCTTATGAAGTACGTGGACTGTCTACTCTGCAAAAAGGGTCATTTGGGGGATATCTGTACTGTTCTGACATTTGGGGATATCTGTACTGTCCTGACATTTGGGGGATATCTGTCCTGTTCTGACATTTGGGGGATATCTGTCCTGTTCTGACATTTGGGGGATATCTGTCCTGTTCTGACATTTGGGGGATATCTGTCCTGTTCTGACATTTGGGGGATATCTGTACTGTCCTGACATTTGGGGGATATCTGTACTGTTCTGACATTTGGGGGATATCTGTACCGTCCTGACATTTGGGGATATCTGTACCGTCCTGACATTTGGGGGATATCTGTACTGTCCTGACATTTGGGGGATATCTGTACTGTCCTGACATTTGGGGGATATCTGTACTGTTCTGACATTTGGGGATATCTGTACTCGTCCTGACATTTTGGGGGATATCTGTACTGTCCTGACATTTGGGGATATCTGTACCTGTCCTGACATTTGGAGGATATCTGTACTGTCCTGACATTTGGGGGATATCTGTACTGTTCTGACATTTGGGGATATCTGTACTGTCCTGACATTTGGGGGATATCTGTACTGTTCTGACATTTGGGGGATATCTGTACTGTCCTGACATTTGGAGGATATCTGTACTGTTCTGACATTTGGGGGATATCTGTACTGTCCTGACATTTGGGGGATATCTGTACTGTCCTGACATTTGGGGATATCTGTACTGTTCTGACATTTGGGGGATATCTGTACCGTCCTGACATTTGGGGGATATCTGTACTGTCCTGACATTTGGGGGATATCTGTACTGTCCTGACATGTGGGGGGATATCTGTACTGTTCTGATATCTGGGGGATATCTGTACTGTCCTGACATTTGGGGATATCTGTACCGTCCTGACATGTGGGGGATATCTGTACTGTTCTGACATTTGGGGATATCTGTACTCCTGACATTTGGGGATATCTGTACCGTCCTGACATGTGGGGGGATATCTGTACTGTTCTGACATTTGGGGGGATATCTGTACTGTCCTGACATTTGGGGGATATCTGTACTGTTCTGACATTTGGGGGATATCTGTACTGTCCTAACATTTGGGGGATATCTGTAACCGTCCTGACATTTGGGGGATATCTGTACTGTCCCTGACATTTGGGGGATATCTGTACTGTCCTGACATTTGGGGGATATCTGTACTGTTCTGACATTTGGGATATCTGTACTATTTGACATTCTTGGACCTCAAGAAAAGATTGGCTGTCAGTACTTCAGGATTGATCAATATTCAGATCTATACCATAGTTTGTGAACTCTATAACTTTCCTACAAACTAAATAAATACATCCTAATTTGGGTTATTTTCACCAAAGACATGTAGCAGAATACATCTCGGCCTAAATTTATGAAGAACAATTATTTATTTGCAAACTGTTATAACAGAAACAAAGAAAAAACGTGTTTTTTTTTTTGAGTTTTTTTTGGTCTTTTTTTGTTAATTTAGCAAAAAATAAAAACCCCGGCGATGATTAAATACCACCAAAAGAAAGCTCTAGTTGTGTGAAAGAAAATGATAAAATTTTAGTTTGGGTACAATGTTGTATGACCGCGCAATTGTCATTCAAAATGTGAGAGCGCTGAAACCTGAAAACTGGCCTGGGCAGGAAGGTGTAAAATTGCCCGGTATTGAATTGGTTAAAGAAAATCTGGAGAATATATTTAAAAATAATATATTTGAAAAAAATATTTTTCATATATTTTGTGCGTATAAATGTGTGTATATATATATATATTTATATAATATATATATATATATACACACACACACACACTGCATGTTGAAATGTGTTTTTTATTACAAAATAATATGAAAATATATTTTAAAAATACATTTTAAAATATATATGTCTTTAAAAAAATCTGAAGAATATATTTTAAAAAAAAATATATTTAAAAAAATATATTTAAAAAAAATTTCATATATTTTGTATGTATACATACACATATATATATATATATATATATATATATATACTGTATGTTGAAATGTGTTTTTATCACAAAGTATATTACTTTTAAAAAAAACATTTTAAAATATACTGTTTGTCTTTTAAAAAAAATGAAGAATATATTTAAAAAAAATTTTTCATATTTGTATATGTAAAATATATATATATATATATATATATATATACACAC